AAAAAAAAAAAAAAAAAAAAAAACCTAAAACCAAGGAAGAAAGTTAGAACTTAGACTAAGCTATTGGATTCCAAAATAAAAAACTTGCTCTAGGAGCACAAAAACCAAAGAATTTGAATGGAATAGAAGGCCTTAGATAAAAAACCAGAAACTTACATAACATTGATCTAAAGCATGTTCTATATGCTTGTATGTCCACCAGACAGAGCTCCAAGCACCAACACATCAACTCCTTCCTAGCTCCTACTGTATTTGGCTATGGCAGCAAGGTTCACAAAAACCAGAAGAAATTGGATGGAATAGATAGCATTAGATTGAAAATTGGAAACTTACATAGCATTAATCTGAGGCTTGTTACACTTATGCATCCATCAGTTGTAGCTCTCAAACACCAACACATCAACTCCTTCCTAGCTCCTGCCATGTTCAGTTATAGCAACAAGGTTCACCAGTCATCTTAGGACAATATGATATGTTTCATGGTATGAATCAAACTCCACTATGGAGGGAACCCAGTAGGACTCAATTGATGCATTGTACTCTTGAAACACATTTGCATTTGGATTTGGATTTGGATTTGGGGAGGGGGTTCAAAATTTTAGATTGGGACCAATCCACCATATGAAGCAAAAGAAATAACTAATAATTGAACAGATGAAAATTGCCAATGATGAGATTGAGACCATACACCATTTTTAAGGAAAATCTAACTTGTGAGTTAAGTCCTCTAAGAAGCCTTATATGGTAACTTGGAAGATTGCTCATCAACTAGGAAGACAAAGTATAGACTATTTCCAACCCACTGCCATGTTTCCCAAACAAGCTCTGCGAGTAACCTAAACAAATAATAAAATCATTAATATGTGTCTCCACGCATGTGACTTTTGAATGTGAAATTTCACTACATTCTTAGGGGGGAAAAGGCACTCACCTCTCCGCAACATTTCATGACACCAAAAAGAAACGACTCAGACACTTGTAGGAAGCCAGAAAAAGAAACTAATTTTTATCAGAAACTTCCTCTTGTACAAAACTTTACGCTTAATAACCTGAAGTAAACAAGAATCGTCATTAACCAAGATATGTACTGTTACCAAAAAAATAAAATCGAAATATTTGACACCAACATATAATTTTTCTAACCCACTGCCATGTTTTTCAAACAAACTCTTCATGAAACCTAAACACCTAGCAATCATGAGTATGTCTTCATGCTCGTAACTTGTGAATGTGAACTTTAACTGCATTCTTGGAAAGAAAAAATTCACCTCTTTGCACAATTCATGATCATGACACCAATAAGTTTTGTAGGAAACCTGAAAATAATACTAATTTTTATCAGAAACTTTCTCTCGTACAAAGTGTCATAACTCAAATTTTAGTAAAATTTTATTTTCTAACTACTGTATTTTGTCTTTGTTTTACTTGTTAGGTTTATGAGCAACAATGGGGATTTTTGCAAAGAAAATTGGAAAAGGGAGAAGTTGAAGAACAAGGGACTCAATTGAAGAAATCAAAAGTCGGGGGGTGAAATCCTTTAAGCTATAAATCTAGCCCATTTCTCAAACCCATCTTAAATGGCCCAATTCCACAAAAATCAGCCCAAAACCCAAGCCCAAATACCAAACCCATTTAACCCAAACAAACCCAAAAAAAAAA